CAATTTGTTTTTTAATTTGCATATTTTCATTTTGCCGTCATTTTTTTTTTCCTAGTTTTTCGACATAAATTTTTTAAAAAATTATTCATTTAAATTTTAAAATTAGGTAAAATTTATTATTATTATTATTATTATTATTATTATTGTCATTTAACAATCGATTTTTTTTTAATTGCAAAAAGGTAATAATAATAATAAATAAATAAATACGAATTTTAAATGCATTTTTTTCTAAAAAAAAAAAAATTTTTTAATGAATTTAAATAAAAATCAATTATTTTATTTAAAATAGTGTTGATAATAGTGATAATAATAATAGCAGTAGTAATAATAATAATAATAATAATAATAATAATAATAATAATAAATTAAATATTTAAAGTTTTAAATTTATTACTACATAAAATTTTTTTTTTTTTTTTTTTAATTTTAAATTACTACTATTTACAAAGCGCAGAATCGTTTAAATTGATTTTTTAGTTTTTGTTTTTCATAATATTATTTTTCTAACCTCTAAACAAAAAAAAATTCTTACTTCTTGATACTTTTATAATGATATTTAGTAAATGAAATGAAATTAATAGAAAAAGGTGAGTTTTTATTTTTATTTTAACTAATATTTTATCATTTCGTCATTTCTTCTTCTTTTTTTCGTTAATAATCATATTAATATTAAAATAAAAAGACGATTAAAATTATTTTATTTATTTATTTTTTTATTAATATTATCGTGAATTGTTTTACGTGTAAATATATGTATGAAAATTTCAATCATCATTATTTATTATTATTATTATTATTATTATTAAAAGAATTTATTATTATTTCAAAAAATCGTTCAACAATTGTTTTATGATTTTATCAAAAAATATTAATTATGTTTTTATTTAATTATTAATTATTAAGTTATTAGATAAAATAAAAAAATTATGCTTAATTACGTTTAAATAATCCTGAAAAATTACAATTAGGCAACTTTCAATACGCCAACGTTTACGTAATTGCATAACCGTGCGAATTCTTTTTTTTTTTTTTTTTTTTTTTTTTCAAAGAAAAAGAAACATAATTAAAATTATTGCAAAACATTTTTTTTTTTTTGTAAATTTAACACTTCGTTAAAATTAAAATTATTATTATTATTATTATTATTACTAGCAATTAAAATAAATTTAATAAG